CCAGCAAATCAATTCTTTTTTTCTTAACCGGTGACATGAAAAAAAAACACATAGTTGGCAACTTTTTTTTATGAGTTGTCATTTTTATTTAATTTAAAAATAATATATATATTTTTTTTTCATCCACATCACCAAAAAAATTTCTCTTCTTCCTCTTTCACGTTCTTTCTCCCTTACCTTCAGTTTTTCCTTACCTCTGCAAACCCAGATCTGGGTTTTCTTTCTCCAACTTCATCTTCTTCCTTTCCCTGCTCATCCTTTTTCTTTCTTTTTCTTATTCTTTCTCTCTCTCTCTCTTTTCCCTTCTTCTTCCTCTCTCAAACCCAGATTTGGATTCTCTCCTGCAACGTTACCGTTATGATCGCACCAAGCTCTTGGAGTTCCTGCTATCCTCAGGTTTAGTCAAAGAAATTCGTACGTCGTCTGGCCCCACTGCTTTTCTTTCTGACCTCCACGTCGACTCGATTAGTGCCGATTACATCCTCCAACGCTTAAAATCTGGTAAACACGATCTCATTCTGTTTGTTGCCTTCTTTTTGTTCTCAAGAAAACCAAATGAAAATCAATTTAGCTAGACTTAAAGAACGAAGGAGTTTCTGGCTTTGTCATCATCGTCACCGATCTCTACTATCTCATGACGGAGGCTCTGTCGAAGAAGAGGAGCTGGAAGAAGAAGAAAAGGACTCTTTTTCTGTTTCATCTCAAGATAACAACCCCAATTCTGCCGGTTTCTCTTTGGATTCTCTCCTCACTGGTGAACTCTCTATTCCGGTAATTCATTTTTTTTTCTGAGAAAGAATCACAAGTTGTATTTTTGTTGTTTATGATCAAAATTAAAGACAGTGTTTTGAATTTTCGGAATTTATAGGCTGATGATGTTGCCAGCCTTGAATGGGTATCTCAATTTGTCGACGATTCTCCGCCAGAATTCCCCCCGTTGTGTTCGTCTAGTAAACAGAAGACCGACAGCCATGCAAAACCCAAACAGAAACCTGTTTTGATAAAACCACTGTGCTTTCTTTTACGAGCTCCGACCAAAGCAAGAACCAAACGGCCCAGAACCAGCAGCTGGGTCTAGTCAATGTCGGTCCTCTTGACTAATTCATCGTTAAGTTATGTTATAAACATGAGTATGAGTAATGATCCTTTTCTTTTTAATGTTTGCGTGTATGGAGTGTTACAGTATGAGTAATAATTTTCCTTTTTCTGGTTGCTGTGAAATGATGAAACGATCTTTTTGATCGGGTGTGGTGGTGATCACGTAGATCGATGAGGAGGCACTGTTTTTGGCGACGTTTAGAGGGAGATTGGACGGCTGGGAGTGGGTGTCGAATGTGAGAAAAATCCAGACCTGGGTTTGAGAAAGAAGAAGAAAGAAGAAAGATGAGCATGGAAAGTAAGGAGGAAGGTTGATAGAGATTGAGGAGGCAAAGCTGTTGAAGGAGGAAAGGAGGAAGAAGATGAAGTTTTTTTTTTTTTTTCCTCGAGAAAACTAAATGAAAATCAATTTAGCTGGACTCAAAGAACAAAGGAAAACGAACAAGGAAAAGATGTAATTTAGCTGGATACTTCTATTTAAACTTCTTAGCATGAATTCCTTTGGCAATTCGTTTCAGCCATGATTTTCATTTATAAAAACCCAGATGGGTTTGCGGAGGTAAGGGAAAAGGAAAGGTAAACAAGAGAGAAAGTGAAAGAGGAAGGAGAGATGACGTGGATGGATAAAAAAAAAATCATTATTTTTAAATTAAATAAAAATGACAACTCATAAAAAAAAATTGTCAACTATGTTTTTTTTTTTCATGTCACCAGTTAAGAAAAAAAGAATTGATTTACTGTCAAATTAACATGCCACCTGTTTATTTAACTGACGGAAGGATGGTTTTGGTATAAAAATGAAAGTTTGAGGATAATTTTAATACTTGTTAAAGTTGAAGAACAATTTTGATGCCAAAATGAAAAGTTGAGGGACCAAAATGGTACTTAAACCTAACTAAATCTTCAACGTTGGTAAAGGCCCGTTATATGTTTAGAGAGTGAAGTAAAAACAATGTCGGCAGACCGGCTTTATTTTATTTGATTTTGAAGATAGCATAAAAGGAGCATAAGTCTAATATATATTCTATGAATATAGATTAAGAGTATATTAAATATATTTTTTATTATAAAATTATATTAAAAAAATTAATATTTAATTTATCAATTATTTAATTAAATTCATTTAATGTTAAAATTAATATCAATTTTTAAATTTTTTATATATACTTATGACAAAAAAAAACATATTTACCCTAAAAATACAAATTAAAAAAAATTCAAAAAACAAAAGTGTTGTTGAAAAAGAATTAAAAGAGGTACAAAAAGAGAAAACCAACCTCGGGTTTTATCCTTGCCCTTTTTACAACGACCATCTTCAAAATTGGCAAAGTCAAATCCGTCATTAACGTACTTCCCGCGTGAAATTAATATGGCTAATTAAATCCAAAACTTATAGATGCATGAAGTTTTCAGAAAGAAATGAGATTAATTTACTAACATACACCCTAAATTTTAATATTTACTTTTAGGCACAATTAATAGTATTTTTTTATTACAACTATATATAAAAAATATAAAAATTAACATTTATTTTAATATTATTATTAAGTAGATAAATTTAATTAAATATGTTACTAACATACACCCTAAATTTTAATATGTACTTTTAGGCACAATTAATAGTATTTTTTTATTATAACTATATATAAAAAATATAAAAATTAATATT